TGCACCTCCAGAGATGAACACCCCCGGGAGGTTACGACTGTCACGTGAAGTTTACACCCCGTAGGCTACACTGGAAAACATATCTTTGGAATAGTTTTAAAACAGTTTTTATTTGTGGTGCTAGCTATTGTTCGTCGAATGAGAAAACCAAGTCGATACACAATGTCTTGAGAATCTCGTCATCTTACATTTAGTATTATTTTCATTGTTTTAACTTGAGAATGAAGAAAATGATTTCGGGCTATGTACCCACAGATATATAAAACGGTGTTTTGTTCAGACATCCTTAACTACGACAGAACTTGAAGTTCATTCGGACCGTAATAAAAAGTGAACTCTTTCCACCCGGGACAAATTTTCCCGTAAAACCTACAACTATTTTTCAAATGTTAGCGACGAGCACGGTAAATCGTACAGCGGCGATAGTAATGACCCAGCAGCTCGTGCGAATTATTGTGCATATTACGATATTCCTGTGTTGTAGTAGTACTTGCGGTGTGTGTGTGTGTGTGCTCGGCGGCAGCAGCCGCACGTGATATGATAATTATACACCCCCCTGGCCAACAAGGGGCCTAAGCTCATGATGGGTGTACGTTACTGATGTAGTCATTACCACTACGCGGGGGAGCGAAGCCCCGCGCCCCGCCCGCACACTTCCCTCCCTCCGCCCTGCTGCGCGTCTTATACCCCATTCGCCTCACGCCGCAGCGCGCGCGCGGTAGCAGCGGGGAGAGCTCTGCACGCTGCCGCAGTTCTCCCGCCAGTAGTAGTAGTTCGGTGGAGCGGCGGCAGGGGGTAGTGGGAGAAGGGGAGAGTGAGAGAGTCCTCCGCGCGGGCCGCTCACCGCCACAGCCCGGTGAGCAATTTGTCTCTGGAGCAGCCGAAGCTAAAAGTTTGTCAGCGCGCTGCCCCCGCCCGGCCCGGCCCGCCCGGCCCGGCCCGCCCGGCCCCGGCCCGCGGTCTCACGGTGGTTTGGCGGCCTCTCCGAGGTTTGGCGGGGATCTCTCTTCGCCAAGGCCAAATTAGTCCTGAGGTTGGCCGGTGCGGAGAGCAGCCGTCGAGTCGTCCGTCGCCACCGCTGCGGCCCGTTCCATCTGCCGCACCCCTCTCCGACGACTCTTCCTTGTAAAGGGGGGCGGGAGGGTAAGGGGTATGCGGAGGGGGGAAGGATACGCAGCTGGAACAGTCCCCAAGTTGCCGGCATTTAGCCCCCCCTACCTCCCCCGCGAGTCCACATCCCCCGCGGCGGACGGGGACGAGCAAGTTTGGGACCGCCATGGCAGCCATCATGTCCCTTTAGACACTTTGCCGAATCATGGACCCCCTCCTGCGAGAGCGTCTCGCTCCCAGAGACACGCCAGCCGAGCGCCTGGCGAGTGCCCTCATGATCTTTTAATCAGGCCCTGTCAGGTACATCGTATACACCGTGCCTGTGCCTGGCAGCCGAGGTTGCCCCCGCCCGCCCACGCCCCCCTCTGACCGTGAGTATGGAACTCCGCCCGCACGGGCGCGTGCACGGAGAAACCCGGTAGTACACGCTGTCATCAGCAGGCCCAGATGCGATAACTGGTTAAACTGTCCAACTCGTCCAATAATTGCGCCAATTTCCCTGGATAGCTGTGCCCTAGACAGCATCCCCGAAAACCGTCATTGAACCCCTCGCTACTCACCACCAGCGAGGTGCTTGCAGAACACCTCCTCGCTACTCACCGGTAAGGTGCTGGTACAGCAGCCCGGAACGCTTGAGCAGCTGCTCCACGTGCTTGGAGGGTACCTTCGCGTCCTCGATGACCAGCCACTGGACGTTGCGCACCAGCAGCAATGTCTGCGCCATCCTGGTGAGCTCGGCGAGCTGCTCCGGCCGGCGGTACGTCGGCGTGATGACGTACAGCGGGTGCAGCCCTCGCCGCGGCGCCGCTCTCCCCGGGAGCACGTCCGCGTCGGCACACTGCGGGCAGAACAGCGGTGAGTCAGGGGGCACTCTCGGGGCACGACGGCGGGGGAGGTGATGTCGGTGATGGCAGAGTAGCGCCTTCAGGGCTACTTCGGGGAGGTAGGGGCGGGAGCGGGCGGCAGCCCCACATCACGGGGACCCTGCCGTGCTGAGTGCCCCCTCTCTCGCTCGCACCCCCCCCCCCCAACTTTCGCACGACGCGCGCCATCTCTCTCGCACACGCGTCGCGTAGTACGCCCCGGATGGTCCTGGGACGACGACGACGACACCGGTCGCGCCGAGCGACAATCGAATTGGACTGTCCCCAGGTCAACACGAAGGGCGTCCCCAGCGGCGTCGAGGACGGTGGGAGGGGAGAAGAAAGGGGATGGAGGGTACCGGGCGGTACCGCCCGCTGGAGGGGTACTTCTTAACGAAAGACCGCCGCCGCCCGTTTGCCGAGCGGGTAGCGTTTGGTGTTTGTGCGGCCGGGGTCCTGATTGGCCGGAGCGCCGCGTTGTGCTGCACAGTTTGGCAAAGGCACACGTTCAGAGTCGGGGGTTGCGGATTTGAACAGGGACGGAATAAATGTTTGCTACCCGACTACGGGGGAAGCCGGCGGCGGCTTCGTGCTCAAACAGTGTGTGAGCGACCGAAAACGAGCAAACACTGACTTTATCGACAACTCACTTTTTCAGAAAAAAACAAAGCCGGCCGACGACGGAAAGCCGATATGCGAGCAGAAACCCCGATACGATAGCAGCTGCTCTGATAGTGCGGTATACCCCCCCCCCCCTCACTCTCTCCCTCTCTCTCTCTCTCTCTCACCTGGCTACAGCTGGCGGGCGGCGCGGTGGGTGCGTGCAGCTGCAGGTGCGAGGCGACCTCGCGCAGCAGCCGCGCGCCCAGGCTGGCCGCCATGTCGTCGTTCTGCGCCAGCCGCTCGACGGACAGCCGCACGGCCTCCTCCAGGGCGTCCAGGGTGACGGCGGACGGCGAGGGCGCCGGCGTGATGGGCGGCTCGTTTGGCGGCGCGTCGACGGCGCGGACCGCGGGCAGCGCGGGCGGGACGGCCGCGGGCACGGCCGCCAGCAGCGTGGAGACGCGGTACTGCGCCAGCACCAGCAGCGCCGCCGCGCACATGAGCAGCCACATCCTGTGCACCTGGACGCGCCGACAATAAGAAACACCGCGTATCAGGCTGGGGAGGGGGGCAATCCACCGCGACGACATTTTCCAAGCTGCCCCGCGCGTCCCCGCGCGCCCTTATTGGAGGAACCGCAAATAAGGGAGTGGTGTCGGAGATCGATATGTCGGAAAGAACGCCAGCGGGCGCGACCGTTGTGATGACGTGTTGTGCGTGCAAGAAATTAGGTAGTATGAGTCGTGTTTCCTCGAAAAGCGTAGCGGGGAGAAGAGTGGTGGCAAGAAGCACACGGGAATAAGCAAAGGCCCGTCTCATTCTTTTCCTTGTTCTCTGCACCCGCGAGGTGCGAGGTGTCTCACGCCCTTGGCGCCCAGTCGCGGCAGCAGCACAACTTACCCTCGTGCTATTGAGTGCCCGCAGGCGGTGGCCCCAGGGGCCCCATGAGCCCGGCTGCGGCGGCGTGGCGGCGGCGGCGGCGGCGGCGAGGCCTGCTGCTCCTGCTGGCGGCGGCGGCGTGGCGGGGGCGGACACCGTCACCATCTGCGGCCGGCTGCGGGCATCCGCCGGGCGCGCCCCTGCTGGATCCGCGGGGCGGCGCGGGCGCAGCGGCTTCCAACAAGGCCCGCTACCGCGCTACGCGTCGCCTCGCGTCCTGCAAGAGGACACGTCGTCGGCATGAATATTAAACCCCTTCCGTCCCCACTCTCCTCCTCCCTCCCCTCCGTGCAGCTGGAGTGGCTCCGCTGGGGCTCCACGGGAGGAAAAGGAATCCTCGTCGCAGCTGCAGCCAATGAGCAGAGGGAGCGGGGCGAACCCCGGCCGCGCCCAATCAGACAGGGGGGCCGTCATCTGCAAAGCCTGCGGAGCCCCCCCCCCCTACCGCTCCGACCCCCTCTGCACCCCTTCCTTCCAGCCGCTTCCAGCAGTCACTCTACTTACTAAAACAACGGCACAGTAAGCGGTGTGCAAACAACGCTGTTCCCGGCGGCCCGAGTGCGCCGCTGCGCGCCCCCCGCGGCCTCCCGCTCGCGCCCCGCCCCCTCGCCTTTCGGTCCTTTATGGCGATGATGGGGACTGGCCCCTCTCGGCCGGGGCCAGGACCGCTGCTGCTGCCGCCTTGCTCCCACGACGGGTTGGAGTCCCCGTCGCTTAACCCTCCGAGGTGACTGCCACGCGCTGGGCGGCGGAAGCCAGCCTTCCTTTTGGTCCCTCGCAGTCCTCGCAGTAGTAGTGCTCCCAGTCCTCCACGCCCCCCTCTCCCGACGCCGCCCGTTAGACCAATCTCATATCTCTTTGCCATACATGCTCGCTGCTCACACTCTCCGACTTGATCTCACCCTCCCCTCCCCACCCCGACCCCCGACCCCTTCTCCCATCCCACTCGCCATACCTCCTCGCATCCCTTTTCAATCAAATGTTATTTCGCCCCAGCTCGGCTGGAAGGCGATGAAAGGCGAACGCGGCAACACATACCCCCGGGGTAAAGAAGTAAATTGTATTGTGATCCTTCTTAGTTTTTCTTACAAAGCCAAACCTTTGTTCCATCCTGGCACACGGTAAGGATATTTCAAATTTTGTGCTGATACTGATTCTACACGTTTTTGGCAAGTTGCCGCAGCCATTCCACCCCC